CTTAGTGGTCTGAGAAAATAATATATAAAATCTCAATTTTTTAGTGCATACTTTTTAAAAAGTTAACGAAAGATGAATTTTAAAATGAGGTAAGTGTGGACCATGGAATTAGAACTGACACAGCTGACGCTCCAGCGGGTTTTCAGAGGCAGTATAAACTGAACAAGAGAAGACTGTCGTCTTTCTCCCACAAAGCAGCAGCTGGTGGACTGTGGCACTGTATGCCTTTGCATTGGCAGTGCAGCTCCTTACCACTAAGCTCCCTAAAATGAGGTAGTAGGGATAAAAAAAACAATGTAGCATTTTACCTCTAGGTAAGAAGATAAAAGAAAAAGACAATGACATTAAATAAACTGCTCAAGCTTCTCAAAATTTCCTAATGTTATGAAATTATTAACTAGGCTGACTTGCACACAAATTTTATCACCTGTATTCAGACTGCTGTCCTATATGACACATAAACATGACAAAAGTGTATAGTAAATGACTAATGCAACACTTGAAGGGAAAGCTTCGTTGAGTCTAGTAGGGATGCAATGGCACAATTATCTCTAGAGACAAATATGGAGGTTCTGTGATTACAAATGGGAACTACAGAAGATGAGTCAAACAACAGAAAACAGAAATTAAAACAGAAGAAAGGGCTCATTCTCAAACCTCAAAGTAACCAGAAAAATCTTAATTACAGGCATACCTCCTTCAGTTGTGCTTGGCTTTTCTGTACATCGCAGATGTGGTGTCTCACATACTAAAGGTTGTGGCAATTCTACACCAAGCAAATTTATTATGTCATTTCCCCAACAGTATGGGCTTACTTTGTGTCTCTGTCACGTTTTGGTAATCTGCACAAGATTTCAGAAGACTACAGTATAAACAACTTTTAAAAGCAGAAACCAAAACCAGTTATGTGACTTCCTTTATTGCAGTGGTCTGAAACCCAATCAGCAATATGAGATCAAGTCTTTAAAGTGAACTTTTACGGTAAACTGGTATAGGTGAGTATGGTTCTTATTTGTTGTTGTTATGTGTCACTGAGTCTGAACCAACTTGGAACTGACTCTTTAGTGGGTTTTTGGAAGCAATAAATCACACAGGAGATTGGCTGTCTTTGGATTGATAGCGTGCAACCTTTTACCACTAGGCCACCAGTTTCCTACAGTTCTTATTAGCTTTACTTTAAGGCAAGAGAGCGAGGTCAGGTGGAAAGGAAGATAGGCCTGTAGACGTTGCACTACTAACCCAAGAGTGGCACCTCTCTGGAGATTCATATCTACCAGTGGCTCTGAGGGGGGAAAACTGATAATCTCCTCTTGGACAATTCATAAGAAGTAAAGCAATTGCCATGAATTTGGAAACAACTCACAGCTGATTCTTCCAGAGGTTTTCTGAGGCTGTAAATCACACTGGTAAAGGCCTCCCATTGTTCTCCCTCAGAGCTGCTGGTGGATGTGAACCGCCCCTCTTTGGGTAAGCAACACAACTCTTCTGAAAATCAACTAAAGGGTGAGGAATAAATCAGTTTCAACCTGATGACAATAAATTTGAGTTTTGAGTTAAGGCAAGAGAAAAGTCATGGATGCCAGTGTCCATAAAGATATAATGCCCTAGAAACTCTATAGGGTCTCTGAGCTGGAATCGACATAAGCACATTAAGTTTGGTTTTTGGTTTCGGTCAGTGTGAGTAAATTCTGGAAACTTTTTCAATAATTTAAAAGCTGTACATGCAGTAAGAAAAAGTGACTGTGTTGAAGAATGTACTTTGAGTAGGGACCTGGTCAACCATTTTAAAGTGTGGACAGACTTTCACAATCCTACCGGGTAAGTTTTGGTGAGTTCTGGTGGCCTAGTCCATAGGCAGCTGCACTGTTAACCCAAAGGCTGCCTCGCTCTTGTGGTTCCAATCCACTGGCAGCTTCAAGGAGAAAAATAGGCAATCTCTCCGTACCTATGAGATTTACCGCTTCTGAAATACCTCTAGAGAGTCAGCTTTAAAATGGTTCTGACTTAAAGCCAAGGGACAAAAATCCTCAATTAGACAACCAAAATTACAAACTTACTGTCCCTGGGTCAATTCTGACTCATAGTGGCCTTAAAGGACAGAGTAGAATTGCTTCATAGGTTTTCTGAAGCTGTAAATATTTAGGAAACAGAGTGCCTCATCTTTTCCCCAAGAAGCCACTGGTGGATTCAAACTGCTGACATGTCAGTTAGCAGCCCAATGACAAAATCCACTGCAGCACCAGAGCTCAAATGAACACAGGTCAAGAATAAAGCTGCAGACCCCAATTATCAGAACTCCTCCCTAAAATAAAGATAGGCCAACAGGAAGTGAGAAATACTGGATTTCTGATAAGCAATCATAACAACAAAAAATTCCATTCAAACTGAAAGTGTGAACTTTCACTGAAGTAATATGTGCCTTGGTTGGCAGTTCAAGTCTGTCCTATAGGGTTATGATGAGCCAGAATGGACTCGATGGTAGGCATCAAGTTTAGGTTTGGAGAAAAATATCATAAAGCTATTTTCCAGAGATTTCTGCATTAGATGAGTGTTATGACACTGAAGAAATAAGGTAGAAGGGGGGGGGGGAATATTACAGTAGTGCTACCATAACTGCCTTTCACATAAAGATTTAAAAAAGCTCATGAAGAAAAGAAATCCAACAAAAATTGTCCTTAAGTTAAACGATGTATACAGGCATACTTAGTGATCAAAGCCCTTCAATTCCAGCTTGCCTATGCTTTCCTGGAAGCAGCGTGACAGAAAAATCAATGTAATTCATTGTTCAGGAGAAAACTGCAAACATTGTTTAAAAAATTTGTTCCTAGTCACACTGTCGATAAAACTACGAAGACCAGGAAAAAAATGCCTTAATTTTAAAAAAGATATGAATACGAAAGGCTAGTAAAAGGTATTTCTATTTTAACTCTAGTTTATCAACAGAAAACTAAACTTTGGCATCTTCAAACACCTCAATGCGCAGCTATGGCAAGGGAGCACTCTGGAGCCACCGAGTCTATCAACTCTAGGATACAAACATTGCAAATCAAAATGTACCAGTTTTAGGCACGTGCAAAGCTTGGAGTGCAGGTGTCGAGAGTGGATTATGACCGCCAAGGTGTTGCAAAGAATCAAGCCTTCGCTCCCCGAACACGTTCCAGGGATAATCAATCGGAAGCTTAGCACCCACTCATCCTCACTTGGGTCTTTTAAGTAGGAAATGATACTGATTTTCTATAATTGGCCCTCTACAGTGGCCTCAACCCCTTCAAGACCATTTCTCTTTCCGATGCAAACTCCTGCAAATCCTCTCACAGTCCAAGTCACTACGGGACTCCTGACAGACCACGAACCCCTTCATTCTTTGCATGGGGGGACGGCGATAGGTAGCACAGGCTGCTAAAATCGGCAGAAAACATAATCTGACGTATAAAAAGCAGCGGTCTCGACCATAGCTTCCCCGAGGGGCCGCGCCCATGGGGGTTCAGGAGACCAAGGTGATGCAAGGGGAGGCGGAGGCGGTCGCCCTGACGGGCGCAAGGTCCCCGCGGCGTGCGCCCGGGCTGGGGAAGTGGCAGGAAGGGGCTGCGGGGGCTTTCCCTAACCCTCTTCCCAAGCGGACATTTAGCCCTCCGCCCCACAGCACCCAAGGCCCCACCTTTGATGCCAGCCATGGTGATGACGTTGCTCCTGCTTCCAGGACCCGAGGAGGTGGTGGCGGTGGCGGCGGCCGGGAGACCACGGACGCTCAGCAGCAGCGAGACAACACCCGGAAGTGCGCGATGAAGCACTTCCGCCGTGGGCTCGCGCTGCGCGGGGGCGTAGTGGGCGCGACGGGCTTCGAGCTGGCTGGTCGACCCCCTTTCCTCTGCTCGGGTCCGTCCCTCCTTGTTCGTGGCGGTGGGCAAATCGAGTACCCCAGCCAGGTTTGAGGGAACTTGCTAGGGCCAGCCCCTAAACTCTGCTGCTACTTGATCAGTCAACCACTGCATTCTTTGTGAAGCGACTTGCCGCTTACCTATATAGTGTGTCTCCTTTTAAGGATAATTTTACATTTTTTAAAGAATAGGATTTCCCCCCGTCCCCCCCCACCCCCGCTTCCTACGCCTGAAATAAAGGCTAGATTGATAGGCTACACTTTGCTTTTCGATTTCAACACAGCTTAAGTTCTGATATGGAGTCATCTCCAGAAACAGGAGTAGCAGGACCCAGTTGGTTTTTCTTGTTGTGTTTGGTTGGAAC